GTGTCTTTGTGTGTGTCTGTGGGAGGATTGCGTGTATGTGCAGATACTGTAATATATTCAGAATGAACAATGTAATGTAAATGCGCTCAGTATTGTGGGTGTGTGTATCTTAGGATGCGTATGTCTGTGGGTGCCTGTGTGTCTGATGGAGTGTGTGCGCATGTTTATGCATATGTGCGTTGCCAGAAGCTTTCAGTCGCTCCCTGAGGGATTACATCACAGGGCAGTTATCAGACCTGAGTCATCAGAGAGGTTGAGAGGCTTCACTCTGCTCCTCCATCTAAATGAGGACTTGTTTAAAAGCATTAAAAGACTTCTTTCTCGTTTTCTTGCTTGCTCTTTTTCTTGCTTTTCTTCTTGTATTCTGCCTTACTTTCTTTCTCACCCATTCCTACATCATATATCTTGGGTTTGCCTTTAAGAAGACGACTGAAAGTAGAGTAGGTCAGTTGAAACATGTCACTCTGCAGTCATTTCCACAACTAATGAAGGATCAGCTTCCACCCAAATTAATATATTTTTAGTCGTTCGATTTGTTTGTCTGTGCAGGCAGCTTATGGCAGAAAACAAAATCATGTTAGTTCAGGTGCATCTGTCCCAGTCAAAAATGCCTGTAAGGTAGTTTTTATAGAATGTTAAGGAGATACTTTACTGATTATTCATGCTGCTCCTGCAGCTGCTGGTTATTATTTTTTACTGCTTTTTCCTACCAGCTGCCTTCTGTTTATCCTGATTTCTCCTTTCACCAGCCAAGCCTCCTTGTTGTAGTTTCATCTTTGACTTGTGCACTATATCCATACAGCTGTGGTGTTAGATTTTGTGGAGTTAAATGGGTCTAAATGGAGTGCCCTTATGTTCTGAGCATTTGGTTCCTACTAAGTTATGCTGAATGCGATGCTCCTAATGATAGAAACCAACCCTGCATGAGAACATGTAATTAACCTCCATTTGACATTAGCATGTAAAGATCTGACTCTGTTTACATAAGATCAGGTTGAAAACTATAACTCAGTGCTAAACCATATAATTAAATAGGGCTTAGTTTAATGCTCTGTGTCAAATAGGATTCCAGTGTTTGCTGGTACAGACAGTTCTTCCCATATTTAGTTCAATTTTTTATATCATTTTTGTTTTGTTTTTTTTCTTGATTATGTCAAAGTTGCTCCAAATCTACAATCGCCGGCTTCCTTTGCCGGGGTTTTGTGTCACGCCTCGAATGAAGTTTTACTTAGACTTGACTGTCAACATGTCAGTCTTAGCTTTGACAAAACAAAGACCTGACAACACCTCTGCATTATGATAATCCTGTAGTAATTATGTTGAATAGAAAACCCACGTTGAACCCGCTGAACCTTTCATGTCAAACCAGGTTTGCGTTCATCTGGTTTCGCGCTCTTGCCTGAAATGACTGTGACCGTTTGCTAAAGGTGCATCACATCTCCAACTGTTTCCAGCTAATTCTGCGTTTAAAGCGACGTAGTTCACAAGGTGATAGACCAGCAGCTCTTCTAAAAACCCTCTGCTGCACCATGTGTGATGTGTGCAGCCTTGTTGGGGCTTTCCCCTCCGGCTGACACACCGTGACGTAGACATGGGAGTGTGTCTGAGTGAGTGCACCGAGGGGGGTTGGTAGGAGAGAGCGAGAGACAGACAGCTGTGCAGGCTAGATATGTAGTTAACAGTAGAAAGCATTCATGCTACACATTCTGCTGCAGTGTGTCACCAGACAGTGTCTCTCGCTCGCTCTCTCTCACTTCCCTCTGCTTCCCACTCTTTTTCCTTCGCTTCTCACATCCGTCTGTCTCCTGTTTCTCCCTGTCCCACACACACTCCCACATACATGCTTGTGTGCATGTGCAATCATACACTGACTTCCCTCTCTCTCTCTCTCTCTCTCTCTCTCTCTCTCTCTCTCTCTCTCTCTC